ACACAGAAAATTAAACGACAGTTTCGAAAGTTGGAATAAATTTATTAGGAAATACCATCAAAACATTAAAAAAATGTTGTTTCATTCACGGTATGGACTTACAGAATATTGAAAAAAGTAAATTTTGTCCTTGTCTTAGTAAATCGACTGAATGTTAGCAAATATAGATGGCGAGGCTAATAATTAAAAAAGTTTTTGCACCTTGAAGCATTTTTAATAAATCTATAAATTTACAGATCTATCAATTAATAAAATCAAGTGTGTGCTTTTGGTCTGATTATTTGAAATTTAAAAAAAAATTAATAAAACAAGATTTTTTTGGATATGTAATTGAAAAAAAAATGAAAAAAAAACAATGCAAATTGAAAAAAGATGGAATGCTTCAGTTCTTGTAAAAAATATTAATAGTGATTCGTTAAATATAAATGACCAATATTTTCGTTACCTACAGTATATCACTTGGAAGTTACAGTCAGATTTACAATTTTTTTGTGCTTGCGTACACGTATATTTGTGTGTGTGGTTTTCTTCAGGAACATGAGATTTCATGGTTTGTCAAGTCCACAGTGTGCGTTCATGTGTCTGCATATGTGTATACGTGTACAATATTAACACAAAATCCCCCTTATAATATCTAGTACGTATTGGCACAATTTTTCAGTATTTCTTCAATGAAGCTTGTCCTGATGCCGAAGGATCCCTTGTATAATGCTGTAGTTCTTAGTCTGCCAATTTTGTGATTTCTGAAGGAAAGGGCATTTGTCCTTCATTTCTCATTTTATATAAAGAATAAGCATTAAATAAACTTAGATCAATAAGATAGAAAAATAACTTGCAATACTACTTCATTGTTTTTCTAACTGTTTCGGTTATAGATAAATTTCTAGGTCTATGTTTTTCTAGGATAAATTTCTAGGTTCTAGGTCTTTCTACATTGTCAACACCAATTATATTTTAGTTGTATTCATGGATACATCGTGGTTTTATAATATTTTCATTGATTTGATAGTATTTTTTACCGGTGGTACAGAACTCAGGTTCGTGAACAGTTGTAAGCATGCAAACACTACGCTTATCTTGCCACTTGATTGCCATCCACAAATTATTATAAGCAACTTGAACTTCACCTCGCTCTATTTTCTAATTTTGACATTGCTTTCCTATTTGTTTTTATCGTGCCACACATTCCTGTATCGCGATCATGCAAAAATTCTGCCAATATACCAGTTATCTATGTATATGACTTAACCCTTGTAAAAATAAGGTTGTAAGAAATGAGCGACAATATCCCCAGTAACACTCAAATTAAACTTCTAATAATCAATATCAGCGCCAGTGTAGGCAACAAAGCCCAAAATGAATCCAGTCTCATAGTCTACTAATTCAAAAAGTTTGCTACCAAACCGATTCCTTTTCAAAGGAATATACTGCTTGAATCGAAGTCTGCCTTTTCATAATACTAGACTTTCATCTATGCACAAATATTCGCCTGGAATAAGAGCTGCTAAGAATTTACTTTGTAGATAGTCTATTATTGGTTTTATTTTCACAAAAGAATAGTGAGCGATTTCCGAGGTGTCTGCATTATCATGAAAATGTAAATAGCGTAAGATTGTAAGAAACCTATTACGAGATATTATTTAACCGAAAATTGGAGTATAAAGTAGAGAATCTTTAGACCAATAATCTTTCAAGTCACCTTTTCGAATATGGTCCCTTAGAACTAAAAGGCCAAGAAAATGTTAAAATTCATCTTTTATAAAAGGAGACCAAGTTTTATGATGGAATTGCCGATCTACATGATTCTGCCTTTCATAGCGATTCGTCTCATCTATAATTCTTTCAATCAGAGGGAAATAAAAAAAGTATTTGAAGTAATTGATTGGTTTATTCCCTGATATAGAGATGTTAGGATTTATTTCAGAAGTACCTTGAAAATCTTTGATTGATGGATAAAAATACGCGTTTTCAAAAATTTGAGTCTCATCATAATCATTTTCTACCAAATCAACTTCATGAATTTCCTCATTCTCCAAATCTTGTATTTCAGGTTCAGACTCGCCACTACTCCAAGCTTAAGTATCAGCCATTTTATCAAAAGTAATTGCTTTTAATTTTTTGACAACTTAGTCAATAAAGAGAATGATGAAATAATAAGAATATTGTCAATAAAAAATCTTTCGCAAAAAAAAATAACTAAGTGTTAATCTGCCAAGAAACTAATAGTAATAAATAATTCAAATAATCACTATAAAAATGCGTTTTACTAAACGCAACACTATTTGTTTCATGTTCAAAGTATCAAAATAATACTAATTTTCAAGGTAACTAATTTTCAGGTCGAAATACCGAATAAAAAATTTGACCTTGAAATCACTATTTCAAGGTCAAATATGCTTTTTAGAATGATAACACTATGTTTCCTGTATTCAACATATAATATTACCCCCGAAACAATTCGAAAATAATATGATATCGAAGTGGTCGATATATTGACTAGTTCCGTCCTTAAAAGGCTAATTAAGCTATTTTCTTTGACGTCAGAAGGGTGACTACGAAGTTATCCTTCGATAGCAGAATCAATCCTATTTTTGCTGCAAACTTTCTTCTATCGCATTCATATACAGAGTACTTAAATAACGTTTACAATACATCATTCTTCCCTATACTGTAAAAATGGTCCTATACTCTCTCTTGATTAGGTCTGTTGCATTGTGGGTGTTTGAAAATAAGTAGATGTATATTGCCGATTACTGTGCACTGGTCGCCTATTTCGAAACCATATTGTATCTTTAGAGATATTGATTTTGCTTTGAGATCAGGATTACACTTACTTCTTTATACCTTGCAGGTAGATAGCAAGATCTTGTGCTACCATAGAATACCGGTATTAGAAAAGTTAAATATTTCTGTTTTTACGACCGCGTGTTCTCCTAGCCATCCAAAGTAGACAAAGTGTTCGTAATTGATTCCAATAGAAGTTTGCTGATAAGTTTATTTGAGTGGTTTCGTAGTCTTATATTATATTTTAAGTAAAAATTTTTAATTTCTTCTTTTATTGATGCAATCTGTAAATCATTTTAGATGTTTGGAATTTCGTTTGGAATGAACCACAGCGCGTGTACTATATTGTATAAGACTTTCGATTGAAATATTTCTAAGATTTCAACGTTCGAATTCGAAGCAGCTCTCCAAAGTTGAAAGCCATAGGTTCAGACTGGTTTGAGTACAGCTTTATAAAGCAGAACTTTATTTTCGATTGTTAGCTCCGATCTTTCTCCAATGAACCATTTTCCTTCATTTCAGTCCCAGCTGTTTTCATTTTGTGAATATCTGTTCTTTCCATATCAATCTTCTATACAAGTGTATTCCTAACAATTTGACATGATCTTTTTGCGGAATATATTTGTCGTTTAATTTAATAAGTGGACAAGTATCTTTACGGAAAGTAAATATGATGTGAATTGATTTAGTATCATTTACTATTATTGTCCATGAATTTAGCCAATTTTGAAAAGGATCCATGTGACGTTAAAGGGTTAATTTCGACTTAATTTCGATTGGATTTATATTCGCATTTATGTGTTTTCTTTTTCTTGTACTTTTAATTAATTTAATTAAAATGAGTGTCACTGTAGTTCAGCTTTCACGGTTCTTCGTCTCTACGTTAGTGCCATGCTCGGTATACCATTCAGTCGTCAAAGTGTTCGCGCTTCCCGAACCCATTCCTTTGAAATAATTTGTGCAGATAGTCACGGGTTGTCGGTCTAATTTCTCCATTACTTAGTAAAGTATGTTTTTATACGGAGAAAATCATTTTGTCAACTGAATAATGAAATGAAACATTGTACCTTTATATGTTTTGAACAAGTCAATCATTTCTTCAGGACAGTAGTATTAAGATTACAGATATAATTGAGTTGAGTTGTATCTTCTTTGTTATTAATATTAGAGCAAACATCATTTATGTATAATATCTTAGATATTAGTTGTTTTTCAAAAATTGTATTCTAAATCAAGTATATTAATATTAACCAATAAAAATTCATGGCTATGTTTCGGCTTGTTTCGCAAATATATTTTGTGTTAGTGTATATTTCAGCTTATAAACTACATTTGATTGATCAATATTCAGAATTACATCCTCATCTAATTTTATAATAGAACTTGTTATATACTAAAGGTACCATGCAGATGTTTCTTTTATAAAATTAATTAAAGATGTCACTCTGAATATTGATCCACCAAATATAGTTTATAAGCTGAGTTGTGAACAATGTGATGCAAATATATTGGCGAAATGAAAGTGCATTTAAAACCCGTATAAGTGAATATAGATACGGTCACTAACGTGCATACGTGTGAACGTAACAATGATTTTATTTGAATTAATGCTAATATTCTTGATTTTCAAATTAATTTAGAGAAAGTGGCTAAAAAATTCCATAATGGCTGAAATGTGATATTTACAAAGTTTTCACTCTAGTGTTAATGACGAAAGAGATATAGCTAAACTCAGTAATATCTATAATCTTTTTCTACCCTATCCTATCTTTTCATAGAAGTTGATTGGCTTATTTACAGCATATAAAAGTATGATGTTTCGCTTTATTATTCATTTGACAAAATAATTTGCTCCGACTAAAAAGAGACCCTACTATATTTGAATTGTAAGTAAATTTACTTTCATAATGGACATGTTCTTCCATTGGTGTTCTAATTTTGTGTTCTTTTTTTTTAATTGGTAAATTTTTCAAGAAGAGATTAATGAATTAGTTAATAAAACAGCAAAAATTTTTTTTACCACTTTTTTACTTTATCTAATCGAGCGTTATTTTCCTTCACGTATAAAAATGACAATAAGAGAAAGAAACTGCAAATTTGTACATTCGTTGTATTAATTGTTTTAGACTCCATCTCATCATCAAAAAAAGTTTTATCATCTGCATATACTATTAGTACATTTATTGCACATGTATAATATTGCTGTTGATTTACAGAGATTGTAAAGGATCCAACTTTATGTGGCCGGCTAAAATGTCAAGGTAAGTTAACCGATCAGCTGTTTCCAACTGTGTCAAATCTCTCTTTACTATTGTACCCTAAAAAAATTAATATTGATAAATATATGTTAAAATACCAAAAAGATTATAGAGTCATCGTAAACATGAGACGCCGTGGTATGTTAAAATAAAATAATGATATTCTGATAATTTTTATCGTCTATGACCATTCGTTATGGTAAAAATTGTGGCAATTGTTGAATTTTTTCCGCGGAAGCCTAAAAATTATGAAACCTAATTAGTTTTCGAAACCTGCCATGTTTACAGTGCTCTAATAGAATATAGAATGTTTGCTTTAAAAAATTTGATTTCATTTTCAACCAAATTGAGGTTGTCAAAAAGCACTCCCCAAGTGACTTAGTTGGCATATATTTTGTATGATATCTTTCGAAATGTGCCAAATGAATTTCAAAGTGATTCAAATAACATTAGTTATAACACGTAACAAAAAAATCATATTTTCTACTAAAATTGTTTTCATTTTTAAATTGAAATCGAAAATCAGTATCGACCGAAACAGAAGTTTTAATTTTAAAATTTTTCTATTATTATTATCATAATTATTATTATTATTATTATTATTATTATTATTTTTTTTTTACAAGGAGTTGCGGAATCCTTTTTGCGGATTCCCCTCAGTCTTGCTGACTGAGGGGTTATGTGGGACTCCCCGAAAAAAGGAGGCCTAGCCACTAAACCGCCATCTCCTTGGTGTCCTTCCCCCAGCCAAGGACTATGTTGATATTACTTCTGACTAGAGGTTCTGTCTGTGTTCGTCCGTTCGTATCGTTCCTCCGTATCTCGTTACGTCGCGTCACTTCGTCTGCTCAGTCATCTGTCAGGCAGTCGTTCGCGTTCTTACGTCTCAGTAAAGTTTCCGTATAGGTAGCGATTAAGCGCCACCAGTCGGGTTCACGCACACCACAATGTTATCGAGGGTGATGCTGCCGACCGTTCCTTCCAGTTCCTGTCTGAGTCTTGTCCAACGGTCACACGCGAAAAACGTGTGTTCCGCATTGTCTCGTTCGTGTCCACAGTACTTACAGTCGAGTGTTCGTACTCTGTTCATATTGTAAAGGTATCGTCGGAAGTACCCATGACCCGTATCGAGGGTTACCCCAAGGTACTTGACTTCCTTCTTGGTCTCCATCTCGCATGTCCCCACCCTCATATCGTCTATATGCGTCTTCTCGTGAGAAACATTAGTTCCGTTTTTTCTGTTGCGAGTTGTGGTCCGTGGTCTGTCATACATCGTCTGACTCGTCTCATGGTCTGGTTCAACGCCAGTTGCGCCAGCTCGGGGGACCTCTCCGTAATCACCGCCGCCACGTCATCAGCGTAAGCGACGAGGATTACTCCGAGCGGCATCCCAAGCCGAAGTAAGCTATCGTATAAGCCATTCCAGAAGTCAGGTCCCAGTATCGACCCCTGTGCCACGCCAGCGGTGACCTGTCTCGTTACTTGTTCTTCGATCGTCTCGTATGTTATCCGTCTGTTTGTTAGGTAATCCTCCACAACCCGAAGCAGGTATGGCTGGATCCCGAAGTTGCTTTTCAGCGCCTCCAAGATATCCTTCCACCTGGCCGAATTAAAAGCATTTCTGATGTCGAGCGTCGGTAGCAGCACAATGGGTCGCGCCGCATGGCAGTGTCTGTCTAATTCCAGGAAAGAATCAATCACCTTTTGGATCGCTCCAATCGTCGACCGACCCCTCCTGAAGCCGAATTGCAAATCTAAGAGACCCTATCGTGTCCTGTATCGGACCTGTATCGCGTCCGTCAGTCTCGGTCTGAGTAATTGTTCAAAGAGTTTACCAGTCGTGTCAAGTAAACTCAACGGTCGGTATGCCGAAGGCGTGCCAGGATCGCTCCTACCTTTTGGGATAAGAACGAGCCTTGCCACCTTCCACCGGTCGCTGAACGTTCCTGTCGTCAAGCACGTGTTGTACAGATCGAGGAGTATCTCCGGCCGTAGACGAGCCACAAGCCGGAGGATCTCGGATAGTACTCCGTCCGGTCCCGGTGCCTTACCCGTCTTCATCGCATTCGTTGCTCTGATGAGCTCCTCAGCGGCAAATGTGGGGAGGGGGGGCATTTGTGCGTCCACGTCATCCATCACGTTTGTCCTAATCGGATGCGTCGGAATCAATCCGTCAACAATCCGTCCTGCTGTTTCGGCATCTTTAAATTCCGATGAGGCTCGGGCCCCTAGTTTCCCAGTCACAATCTTGTAGCCGGTTCCCCAGGGATCCTCGTTCACCTCCTCGCAGAGCTTCCTCCAGCATCGCGTCTTGCTGTCCCGTATTGCTTTCGTCAGCGTTTTCCGTGCTGTTTTGCATATGGTTTGAAGATTTTCCCTTTCGGGTCCGCCCCCTGCCCTTGTCACTCGTCGCCGATTTGTCAGGCATATCCTGCGTAACTCGGCTATTTCATTCGTCCACCAATATTGTGGTTGTCTTTGTTGTATCTGTCGACGTTTCGGCATTGTGCTTCTGCACAAGCTGTCTATTAATTTGGTCGTCTCATCTGTCAGTCTTTCCGCTCTTTACCGGCCCGTTAGTTCGAGGGGAATTCTCTCCCCTGGAGCCGGTGCTGCCATTAGCTCTTCCGAAAATTTTCGTCCATCGAGTTTACGTAGATTCTACCGCGGGGGTTGGTGGGTTCTCGTTCGTCTCGTTCCCTTCCGTACTATCACTTCGAAGACGATGTACTGGTGATCGCTGGCTGTGTAGTCTTTGATCATCCGCCATCCCCTCAGCCGTAGCAGGATTCTGTCCGATGTCATCGTGACGTCGGGGATAAATTCTCCGACACCTGGACGTCTATACGTTGGCGTATGTTCCGTATTTACCACTGCTAGATCGAGCCTTGCGGCCATTTTCAGCAGTAGTCGTCCGCGTCGATTCATTTCGTTCATTCCTCACTCGGTCGCCCTGGCGTAAAAATCCCCCGCAATGATAACATCCCTGGGCAGGTCCCTGATTCCGTCTTCTAGGAGTGCCGCCGTTCTTTCTAACTCCACCGCGGTGTAGTTAGGTAGATGCTGAGGTAAGAGATAGCGCCAACTGTGACCCAGACGTAGTCCTCCCCGACACCGCTATTGGAGACTCTAGATTGGGTGCCACCCATTACCCAGATAGCAGTGGTCTCTGTCTCGTTTGTGATGTATGTCTGGATCGTCCTTCTCCTGTATGGTTCACTCAGGATCAGGATGTCCGCGTTATATTCGTCGGCTATCTGAGGTAGGAGCATGTCTGCAGTTCTACTTCGATTCAGATTTCCCTGAATTATTCTGTTCGTCCTCCGGTCCGTCCCCTGCACTCCTCCAGCGCGGCGCGGAACACGGCACATCTGCCGCTTCTGACCTCGGAGCACAGTGGGCAGACCGGTTTGCTTTTACATTCCGTTGCGTAACATCCGGATGTGCCACACTTGTGGCAGCATTTGTCCTGTCCTTACCTGTGCATTTAGCTTTTACATGGCCGAAGCCCAGGCATCTGTAACATTTTGTCACCGTCAGTCGTTTCCGAACGCGGCAGTGCACCCAGCCAATTCCGATCCGACCACGCCGAATAAACGTATTGGCTTCCTGCGATTATAATTCGCAGATCGCCATATACTGTTCAGCGCGGTTCGGACCGAAAATGTGGACTCGGAAGTCCGCGTCTCGTTTCGTCTCGTCTGTCGTCTGAGCATGTCTGTCACGTCTTCCGGAGTCGCAACGCAGTCCAGATACATGATCTCCAATTGGACCTTGGAGGTCATGGCCTTGACACTCCGCGCTTTCCTAATCGCATCTTAGATCTGTCGTCCAAATACATCGCGTCCATCCGATTTGTCTGCGTTTACCTATATCTTCAGAAGGTATAAGCCGTTCTCCGTCTTCCTTAGGATCGTCATCTGCACGTGGCTTTCCTTCGGATCGATCGTCGTCCGTATTTTGCGTACTATATCGGAGTACATCGTGTCCGTGCCCAGTTTGACCAGGACAGCCCATTCCCTTTTTCAGTGAGCCGGTCCCTCACGGGTTTCTCCACCCCTGTCAGACCAATTGTTTGCATCTGTTTTCTTTTTTTATCTTGTCTGTTCTTTTTCGTGTGATCGTCTGCCAGGCCTTAGTTGGTTCCGTTACCGGTGGCCTCTTTTGTGAGAGCTCCGGTGTGGTTCTGGCCGGCGAACGTTTCCGTTTCGTCCGTGGCGTCTCTTCGTTATTTTCCGCTGTCGCGCCTGTATTGTTGTTGTTTTGAAGATGTCCTCCCGAAACTACGTCCGATCGCTTGTGCAACGCAATGTCCATAGTCTCCAGAATCGTCTTAAGTCCCATCTTCAGTGTCATGTTCATGTTCTTTTGTACGTCTGCTGCTTTGGCCATTTTCGTTGCCGTCTCTTGTATGAGCTACAGCAATTCCGTCACGTCTCGTGTGTCGTTTGTTATTGTGGGTGTTCGCCCTGTCGTCGGTTCTTGGCTGTCAGCGGCAGAGACGTAGCTCACCCCGCTACCACCGCTTGACACACTGTCCGTCCTCTGTCGACTTGGTAAGTTTAGTAGGTTCGTATCGTTTTTTCGTGTCGTCTTCCTCATCCCCGTGCACAAAGTGCGGCCCTCAAAATCAATGCCGCTGCCTGCAGGCAACGGGGCTTTCACTCGATCGGAACCCGGGGTGGATTCCCCCTGAGAAGGAGTTACCACTTGAGGTAAATCAGTGTTACTTTTGTGCATTTTCATGATTTGGTTTCGTCCTGTTGTGCTAAAAGTTCCTCGTGGTCGCGACTCCACAAACCGCGCTGGAACAACGCATGGTCTCTAAGATCCCCCCTCCTCCGCCCTGTGTGTTCAGTGTTTCCCCATGTAAAGCGTGCGTTATTTTGAATGCCCGTAGTGGCAAAACCAGGCTTCATTCACGGGGAGAACCCGGTTAAAGGGATCCCCTTCATTCGTTTTCGAGTGGCTCCGTTTAGGAGTCCCCGAGCATTTGCGTTTTT